GACTTCTTTAGATTTAATTTTTTAAAAAATATTTTAAAAATTAATTAAGGAACTAAATAATTAAAGGATTAAAATCCTTTTAGAGTATAAATTCAGTGCACTAATAACATATTTTTCTCCCAATCATGTAATATTGTGGCATAACTTTAATATGTATATATATGTTGCATATGCTGCTATAGTAACTACAATGAAATCTAGCAATAGACCTAATTGTCTCCGCATTTTTCTCGTATTCTTATTCTACAAAGTTTCAAGAGATTTTATCAGTGACATACTTCACACTTACCTGAGAACATTCTTTACTCTTACAATTAAGAACCATATCATAACTGCTCATTATTTCTAAACCTGCCAAATATTGAACACAGAATTTGAGCTCTGCCAGCATTTAGCTGTGTCTGCATTATTCCGTAGAGAAGCTGTTTTTGACATGTGGATTGAATAATTGGAAAACATTGTTTCTGAAATGTCAGATATTCACAAATTCACTAATTTAATTTCACAATATTATATATTTGCATTTGATCAGCAGTATTTAGAGAATTTCTTAAATTTCATCATGCTTCAAAGTAATCTGTTTCTATGTTGTTACTTTCTGTGAGCTATATTAAATATGTTTTTCACATTAAAATTTTCATTGACATCAAATTTCTCCTTAATTTCATCAGTGACTTTGGAAAACAGTTTTCACAGCATCTAACAAAGTTGAATAAATTATGTTCAATTGCATTCCTAGGTGTTACTGCAGTTGGAATATTGTTTCTTCCATCAAACTGATATTGAAATTTAATCTCCACTTTGAGGTGTTACGAGGATGGAGACTTGGTCTCATCATTGTATTTAGAAGTGGGATCTTTGGGAAGTAATTAAGACTACATAAGGTAGTCATGATTTGGCACTGACAGCCATTTAAGAAGGAGAGCAATCAGAACATGTATGAGCCCCCTTATCTCTCACCATGTAACACCTTATGCCTACATGGGATTCTGTGAGCACGATGAAATCCTTGACCTCACACAAGAACTGTAAGGCCAAATAAATCACATTCTTTATAAGTTACAAATATTTGATCTTTTGTACATACCAGAAAATTATACTAAATATATCTAGTGGAAATAATAAGCATACAGATTCATGGTATACTAGAATGCTCTGTTTTTAGTAACTCCAAATGAGAAACAAAAATTCCAATAAACAGGATTAATAGTAATCATAAATTATGTATAGTGACAATGGAATTGTATACAATAATAAAACAGAAACCATGCATAGCAGTACATTTGTTGTTAAATTGTATTTATACAAAGTAAAAGCTGAGTTAAATTACTCATGCTATTAGATGTTATAATAGTAACTGACGTAGGTTGAGATAGTATCTAGAATGAGAAACCAGGTCTTTAAGGATTTCACTACAATTAACTTCCTTACATGCATTTATCATGGTATGTGTATTTTTATAATTTCACTTGATTTGGAATCTTATAGTTATTACTATGCCTGTAAGTTTTTTTTATAATTCAATTGAAGTTGAAAATTTTTAGTGTGAAACTTGATTCTCTTGAATATTAAAGCATTACTTTCTCTACTTTTAGTGTGTCAGTAAACTAATCATGACAAGCTTATGCTGCCACAACAGTAGCAAAAAACACAGAACATGAACTTTAATTTTTTTTTATGGTTCTCAAAACTGAGTGATCCAGCAACAAGGAGTCAATATGGTTAGGTTCACATGATGGTTGTCTTCTTGTAATGCAGATAACCATATACTTGATATGTTCTTACACAGCACAGAGATAAAATAAAGAAAAGAATTGGGATTTCCTCTTATAAAAGCATTAATAATATGATGACAACACCATTCTACTGTCATCATTCAATTCAAATTAATTCTCAAAAACAAATGCCATCTCAATAAAGGATTAAATATTCATGTATCTTACTTGGGGTAGAACAGAATTCAGTCCATAATATTTTGTCTTAGATCTTCCAAAGTTAATTGGTTTGCAGGCAAAATCTTTTGACTTTATCTAATAGCACGAAGAGTCCCAATATATTCCAAAGTCTAGACCAATGTTTCTTTTAAATATATCTAAGTTAAAATTTCCCTTTATCATGGAATCTATGAAATTAAATAAGTTGTGTTCTTCAAAAGTACAATAGTTGAACATACATAGAACAGGTATTCTTATTTCAAGAGCAAGAAATCTGAAAGAACAATGGCATTCTTGTGGCACTGGTAATGGAAAGCATATTCTCATAGCTCTAGTAAGAATGAATTAAAATAACAGATTTTTTTTTAAAAAAATCACCTGTTCTGTGTCTTGAAGATTGGCAAAGCAAAAACTGAGGCCGCATTAGATGTGATTCAGATCTCCTCTCTCAGATTGCAATTAGCTTCACTGATTTCTCACAGGGAAAACAAAACAAAACAAAACAAAACAGGCCTATGTCCTCTTTATTTTCTTATTTTCAGTCCCATTCTGGAGGTTTCCTTTTTAATGAATTCAAACCCTAGCTGCTCATGAAAATCCTCACCTCTAAATATCGAGACTCTAAGAACTATGGCTCCAACATAGAAATTTGTGAGGGTCATAAATATTTAGTCCATAGCATTCTTAATGCTTTCACCAGTAAGTAAATGTTGAAAAAATACCCAAAATTATAGTGCAAAACATAAGGACTGGCACTCAGTAATCACTTCAATATTGCTCAGAATATGAAATTATTCATATAATGGGAAACATATAAAAATTAAAAATGCTTTTAAATTATGGATATGTGGTGCCACATGAATCTTTAGAAAATTACAAAGCAGTCACTAATTATATTATATTCTGAAGATTTTTTATTTGATGAAATAAAATTTAGTCTTAAATATTATTATAAAGATTCTACTATATATTTCTATTTTTACTCACAATTTGTAAGATTGCCATGTATTCTACTCAGCAAATGTACATTTTAGATAATTCTTTTCAAAATCCAGGAGTTGTACACTTCCAAAGCATTTAATATACAACATTTAAAATATCCAACATCAAGTTTGTATATAACTAATCTGATGGAGATATCACTTCATATCAGCTTTATGCATTTCTTTCATTTTAAAACACTCTCATGCAGCTAAATGGTATGTAGCAAAAGCAGTCCAAGATTTTCAAATCCTTAGACATTTTTGCTTTTGTACACTTTATAGAACATTATTTTGGCTAAGGCTATTGTACTAACTATTCTCCAATTTCATTAGTCATCCTTATTTTTCACATTTTACATGTAAGTTATATATAGAAACCCATTTACAAGAAGGTTACATTTGTCTTGAAAAAGCTGCAAGCTGTAAAATATAACACTAAATTACATGTCAGAATCTCAAATACATTCTAGATAGACAGGATAATATGGTTTGAATGAAATAAATTAGAAAGTGCTATGCATTATCATTAGTCCTGTGGTACATTTGGATGTTTATGTTGGGAAGAAATAGTGGTGGCAGCTAAAACATGCTTACAAAATCTCATGGTCTGAATTGTCAAATTAGTTTTTCTAGAATTCAACAGTTTATTGTAGGAGAAAAAAAAATACTGAGATCATTAGATACGTTTGGCAAGGTGACTTTGATCTCTAGCTAAGCAGAGATGAACCTAAGCAGAGAAACTATATAGAGCATGAAAAGCTATGGAAAATGGACATTCCTCTCTGAATCTATAATAAAGTTTAAAGAATTAAATTCTCTGAGAGGTGATGTAGGCGTAAGAAAAGCAGAAGTCAGCGACCTTTCTCTGTATCATTACCTAGGTTTAAGTCTCATCTCAATTCCTAACATGCCTCAGCTCTACCAGAAACAGAAAACAGCAGCTTCCATGGTTAGGACACTTGTCAGTGATCCTCAGTAAGAGTAACCAACATAACTGTCACTATGCCCTAGTTATTAACTAGTTATAATGTTATTACAGTAAAATTGCCATGACTGCACTCCAAATGACAAATACAGCTGTTGCTGTAACACTTCTAGGATTAAAAAATAGAGGTCTTCTGTTCATCTCATCTACCAATATCTGATGCATAAAAAACACAAATATATATAATTCTATGACTTTGGAAGAATCATTTGATTTCCCATACTGTAGTCTATGTAAAATGATAGTCTAACATCTTTATGTCACTGTATAAAAAAAGGAACCAAGAAGTGAAGATTTTAATCACACCTCATTTTGAAGTCAACTCTTGATAGGTTTAAATAATTTTCCAACGATTATGCAGGGCAGTGGGAAGAAAAAGTTACAAACCAAAAATAAGCTCAGTGGTGTGCTGCCCCCAGTCATGCTTTTATATTATGCCAAGACTAACAATCTAACAATCTGAAAGAGTTAAGTCAGAAAAAGAGAAAGCACGTCACTGACTTTGAGGATGAAGAATAAAATATAAGGCATGGGGGAAACAGACACTGAAGCATAAAACATGGAGTTACTGCGCAGCACTAACTGAAAAAGGGTGATTTTAGTCATGAGGCTGACAAATGGACAAAAGAAGTCGGGGTTTCCTGAATCTAGAAGACTAACATCTGGCACTTTGTATCAGGCATTTAATACTCTTCTGTACTCACTAGGAATTAGGAATATTGATAAAGAATTCAAAGATTTGTGGTTCAGACTTCAGCATGTAATGGATATGTTCCTATCTCTGAGGCTGGCAATGAATAAAGTGAATTAAAATCACTTCCATTGTGAAACTTTCAGCAAATACTGATAGAAATAGGAAGACAATGTCACTCAGCTTTCTGTTTTCCTTTGCTTTCTCTTTGTTGCAGAACCCTAAAGTGGGAGGGCTAGAAAAGCAGAAACGTCCAAAAAGCAGACTAACACAGCAACAGAAAACAGATACAGCATTCACGTGCTATACTATTTTCTAAATAATAAGAAGAAGCAAATTTCAGGGGAAAAGTCTTTAAAGTATACAAAATAAGGAATAATAAGTAGAAATCGCTAGAAATATTTGTTTTAATGGACACTCTTTTTAAGGACGGACTTTGGTGCTTTTGCTGATGTTCCAGGGGAATGCAAGACAGGAGGGATACTGGAATCACTAATATCTGGAAGTACAATTTGAACTCGTTTCTTTCTTTTTCTCTTTGAACACATAAAAGCTATTGAAGCACAGAAAATAAATAACAGAGAAAATAAAAAAATGCCCGTAAAACTATTCTTCTTGTTATTTCTGGGGGCTGGACCACTGTCAACACTACCTCCAAATCCTTGTATCAGGCAGTCAGGTGGCTCCCACAAATGGTTGCAATGACAGTGATGTTTATTGTTGCAGATGCCCCTCATGTTACAGGATGCCGGTGAGCAATTACTCCCCAGGATAGACCTAGGGACACACTGCCTGTGGAGACAGATATGTTCTGCGCCACACTCGGTGCCATCATTCACTTCCCCAATATCAGGTATAGTCATTCCATAGTGATAATCAGTACCCCAGCAGGTTACTCCATTGAAGTGAGTCCAATGCACAGTAGTATGATCTCTCAGCTGTGGAATTTCTCGCACATTATCACACTGAACTCTCCCACACAGGACGTCTGCAATCTCACATTTTAGATATCTAACACCCTTGATGCCACAATTTCCAAAACGAGTGCCTTGTGTGTTCAATTCTCTGTAGCAATTCAGATGTGCATTCTTTGCCTTCCGGCCAAATATGTGTCTACACTGTTCAGTGCGGTCATTGCATCTTTTCTCATAGCAGTAAGATGTATTGTTGCAAGGAATTCCATCTTCCATATATACATCCTCTGGGCATTTATAAGAAGCTCCATTGCACCACTCAGGGAGATCACACATATTGTCTTCCTTTCTACACACGTACCCTGATGGTAAGAACTTGCAGTTTTCACAACAAGGCCCCGAAGCACAAGCAGACCCATACGATAAAGTACAGTTTGGCATACAACAGGGATCTCTTGAACAAAGCTGTAGAGCTCCACAGTCACATTCTTCTTCTGCTTCAATAATACCATTTCCACAGCGTGTGTAGGTAAAGACGTCTGTTGTGTAGCTGTGTTCCAGCAAACATGTTGTCCTTTCCACAGTGTACCACCAGAACTGTTGATAGCTACAGTTGCTAAATTTAGGTGTTGGTGGGTTATTTGCATGCATTATGCACTTGGAGTTCCCACAGACACAATGATCCCCATCATGTAGCATGCCCAAATTATGACCTATATGATGGGCCATCGCAATTCCACACACCGGTAAGGTACTGTTCAAAAAAGTTACAATTGCGCAGTTCTTATATGGTACACATATTCCTCTAGTTAATCCAAGGCCACTTAATCCGTTTAAGTTCTTGTTTATGAAAAGCATTGCCATATCATATTTTTTCCGGTAATACATATTTAGATATATCCAATTGCAAAAATACTGAAAAGACCTTCTCACATCATCAACTATAACAAGATTTTCATAATTCCAGATCTCCATAGCAAACACTAACATCTTAATGCCTAGTGCGTGATAGACAGAATCTGCTACATTTGAAATCACATATATGTCATCCAGTAACTTTGAATCATTCCTTCTATAAAGAGAGTATAAAGAATTATCAATCACCAGTACAATTTCGATTGTCCTATAATGAACCCACCATCCAACATAGTCACTTTGCTTCAGAGTGGAATCATCAAGCTCTTGACCCATTATTTCGTCTTGTATGATGCCAGATCTCAAAGTACGGGATTGTGTTTCCTCACTTTTCATCTCGTATACCAGATGTTCAAACGTGGTAGAGAACACCACGGGCATGATTTCATAAGCGACGTTGTTTATGTGTAACATTCCTTTAAAGCCTCCAAAGCAGGTACTGAGAGCAACCAGGGATTCTGGGTCCCCCTCCACAAAGCCGTGATAATAGCAGTCATTCTGCACAAAAGGCTCGTCCTCTAAGAGAGCACCCTGCTCTGTGTAGGTGAACAGTGTGGGGTGTTTGGACAGCAAGAACTTCTTGACTTTCATGTGGACAATGTGTCTATGGCCCCCAAAGCGCAGGCTGTAGGAGAGCCAGCCTGAAGGCTTTTTGCTTCTGGCACTGCTGGTTACCTTCAAAGGGATGACCACCTCTGGGGGGTTGTGATTTGAATGATGCTCAGCTTGGGTGAGTCCAGGGAAAGATACAAGTACCCCAAGCCAGTTTAGCAGAAGCAGGAAGCTCATGAAAAGGCAGGCTTTCATCAGAGGCATTATAAGCTACAGGTGTAAAAACAGTGGTGGAGAGCAGAAGTCAGGAATGGGAGCCACAGCTAGTCTACCTCCTTCTTCTGAATTGGTCAGTGTGCAGTGTTCACTAATAAGGATCTGTCTCGTGGCAGTGTTGGATCACCAGAGATGCAGCCCTATAAGTAAAATAAGAAGCAAGATATGGAGGGCAGTGATTATGAGAGTGTACAACTTAGGAAAGAAACAGGTATGGGATAAAATGTCTAGTGTTTTGATAGGAATGATACACACAACCATAACTGCCTGAAATTGAGTTTCAAGAGTACAGGGAACAAGTATTAAAGGAAAGTCAGAAAATAAACTTGGCCATTGCTATTGAATATTAACTGTGGCCAAAATGAATTAATTGTACTGCTGTATAAATGTATGATTCTTAGCAAACAATTTCACAGCAATTATTTTAAAATAATGACAACTTCTCTGGCCACATATCTTGTGTTTCTGAGAGTCACAATTTTTATGTTTTTTGGCTTAAGTAACAATAAATTTACTTTTCATCTTTGAGTGATAACATCATAGCTGATGTTACCAAAGAGATATTTAGCAAAAAAAAAAGCAAAACTCATGTGTTTTATTGTGCTTACCATGTGTTTCCTTAAAAGTACATATTTTATTGTTTTTCATATCCTATCTTTGTCTCCACATTAGTTATGTTGGAATGAGATATTTGTTGTTTCCACATATATTGGTATCTCGTGTAATATGTTCTTTAATTTTGTTTTAAAGTTTTTAATTCATCTCTTTATTTGAAAAGGCAGAATGTCAGAAACAAAGGGAAAAATAGAGAAATATAGAGAGGTGTCTTCTACTGGTTGGTTCACTGCCCTAGATACAATTCTTATTCTCCAGCCCAGAGGCTGAGCTGCAAGAACTTGGGCCATCTTCAGGTGTCTTCTCATGTATGCAGCAGGAGGTGAAGTAGCTGAGATTGTATCTAAGAGTAGGCACTGCAAGTCTTGATTGGGACCACTTGGCCACAGTAATTGCCTTGATATTTATATAAGAAATAGAGTACTTGAGTATTAATAATAGAGTATTATTCCTTGTAACGCTGCAGCTATGATTCAAAAGTTTTTAAATGTGAATTTTTTAAAAAAGCATATTTTTTCACTATCTCTATCAATTTGGGTTCTAGAATAATTTGTAGGCACGGTTTTCTTCTTTCTCTCTAAATGTGTCCTAACACAACAGCAGGGGCATAATTAAAGCTGACAGAAAAGCCAAGTTGAAATGTGATTATCTGATATTAGGAATATTGTATGGGTTAATTATCTGAGTTTTCTTTTAATCTCTTAGGTATTAGATTGAATGCTGTACAAATCATTAAACCAGCATGTTTAACGAGAATAGAAATACTGATGAAATTTTCAGCTGGATGTCCAAATGACTAAAATGAGAGAGTTCAATGGAGACCCGGTGAGATGTGCCAGAATTTTCTCTAGACTCAGGATATGCAAGTGTGCTGATTCATGTATAGTGGCACTATCAGATATTTGACAGTTTCAGCCTAAATACATTTGACATCCAGGATACTATATGCTGTGCATCTTGTCCATGTTGTAACACCCTAAAATGGATTTGTGTTCCTAATCTTCACTTAATAAACAAGTAACTAGGTAATTGAACTGTCTTCAGAGGCAGCTGCAAAATCCTATCTAGTTGACTCAAATATGTTCTGCAATTATATTATAATTACATTATACTACATTACATTAGCATTAGAATGTAATGTAATGGAGCTGAATTAATCATAGAGGTACCATCCACCATTTCTTCCATCTCATAACACTTGTCTACATGACATGAGAATACTTTGAACCAGTGACTTTTGTTCCTCTCATCATCACGTATGGAAGTGGTCCATTGGTATGAGGTGGAAAAAGTTTCCTCTACCTTAGACAGGCAATTAAGACATAACTACATCAGAGTCAGAAGGACAACATTAAAGTAGCATTGGAAATCTCTCAAAATTTTTTTTTGAGAACTCAGCCCACAAAAAAGAAAAAAAATGGCCAAACATACATATTGAGCATAAAGAGATTTGAGAAGAGTAGGAATCACCTCGAGTGATGTCAGCAGTATAGAAGACTAGGAAGTCCACACCCTCCTATTCAACAAACCTCATGGGTTGAACAACAATTCTGTGAACCCATTTCTCATGTGTGAAAGGTTGAAGCTAATGAGCACTTTGTTCTGCAAAATCAAAACTGTCATTTTTTTTTCAGGAGATTAAGGATGCTGTCTCATCTTTCACCCAACACAGGGCAATTATCCAGGAAGAAAGCTTTGGTCTCTGATCTTCACACAAGAATGCCATTGTTTATGTGTTTCAGTCTCCAAACTTTCCAGAGGAGCATTCATGAAGGTCTAGCTTCTTTCTTGACAGTCTTAGTCCAAATAATTGTCCACATTCTACTCATCCAATGAGAAAAGATGATGGCATAGATTGTGCTCCTTTTCAGGACAGAGTAAGCAGAAGTGAAATCCCACTAAAGATGAAGCATGTTGTGTATATCAAGCATAGCAATTCCTCTAGATATTTCCAAAGGAATAATATCTTTCTACCTAAGTTTAGGATGTTGGTGGGCCTAATACTGTCATGCTTCCTACCTCACAACACAGAGAACACAGAACAAGCTCTGAATTTTCAACTAGGGACACCAAAAGTTGATGTATATTGCCAATGTCCAACTCTACAGGGCTACCAAAGCTGACTTATGTTTTATGTTTAGCTAATATTGGAACTCTGAGTGTGCTTGGCAGTCATTGCTTCTGGGAAATCAATCAAGGGAGAAAAAAGAAATGCATAGAAAAACTGTTGGGAAAGCTCAAAGTGCTTCTGTGACCCTTCCAAGGTCAATAAATGAAGAGTGTTGCTTTAGATAAAATATTCACAGAATACATAGAAACTAATTGCTTCTACTCAAAGGAAGATTTAGACAGACATATATTGCAATAAATAATTACATTAGAAAATAATAAGTATGTCCAAAAACAATTAAACTTTAGGAGCTATCAAAAAATAAATTATCAAGCCCATGGACAGAAGAAAGAAAATAATAATTAGAACAGATTTAAATGAAGTAGAAATTTTTAAAAATTAGCTAAATTGCAAAATTTTGCTTGTACAATAGGATAAATTTAGTTTCTTCAAACTAAGAAAAAACAGCAGACTAAAGGAAGACAGAAATGAGGCAACAGTACTTCCAATGTCTCAGAAACAGAAAGAATTATTGACAGATACTATGATAATGATTTTCATGCAACATTTTGGCTACAGCAAAGATTTCAGTACTACCAATACTTATAACCTTTGCATTAGATTTTTATAGTTGCTATAACAGATCACCAATCTCTGCACTTGAAGCTACACAAAATGATTATTTGAAAGTCTGTAGTTCTGAATATTGGGTCAGACTACCTAAAAACACATTTTCACAGCATGACTGTATGCTTTCTGCATGTCCTTTTCCTTCTCAGGTGATAGAAGTTACTCACTTGGGCTCCATTTCTCCATTATCAGGGGCTCCAACAGATGACAAACTATTTCTCCTATCATTTCACTCTCAGTATGCCTTTTCTGCTTCCTTCCTTACCATACATGGATCTTTGTCATTACATTGACTTCATTTAGATAAAACAGGCTTAGCTCCTTATGTTATGCTCAGCTAATTAGCGAACTTGGTTGTATCTACAACATTTCATCTACCCTTTCCTATGCAAATTATCATATTTGCAGGTTTCAGGAATCAGAGTAGGAACATTTCTGGGAAGCAATTTTTCTAATTACTGCACACTTTTTCACTTTATACCTATTCTCTTTTATGGTTTCTTTTGCTAGAAGATGAAATTACCATTTACAAGAGTGTAACAAAGCTGAGTCTTTCTAATGTCAAATACTGTGGGACAAGTCCCACACTTGAAGAGAAAAATGACAGTATTTCTAAAAATATATGAAGAAAAGAAACTTGGTTGTAGTATTACTCAAAGCATTAAAAACAGGTAAAAATTTCTAAATTTGAGGAAATGGGAAAACTTTCCACTTGAGATTATTTGTGTTTTCTAAAATGTGTGATGTTGAAAATACTTACCCTTAAGCAGGAGGAGTATTTTAAGGGTTCTATTGTATAGCATGATGGCTACAGCTAGTAACCATTCTCTATTTTCTTGCAAAGTTAAGATGTAGATCTTACATGTTGCCACCATTTAATGGTAACTATTTAAAATAGCACAAATAGAACTCACCATTTCACTATGTGTAAAAGATGGTAACACATATGTGTGTAGCTAGAGATCATCATCTTTCATTGAGAAATATGTTATTAAAATATTTAAAGAAAATTATTGATTTTGTGATTATTAGTTTTTATTATGATGCTAGTATAACCAAAATAATATTTTGATTGTTATGATTTTATGATTATTATGATTGTATAACATTCTGCAGAATAATTTAGTGTTGAAGGTTGAGCCAGGCATTGATTATCAGTAATGCGACATGTAAAGTTATTGGGTTATTCTGTAAGTGAGAAACAGAAGCCAGGATGACATGAATTAGTTGCCCTAGCTTCAGTTTTCCATTTGTTGCATGAGACTTCTTTTCCTGTGTACTTTCTGAAGTAATTCAGCACTAAGAACACAAGATCATCTTGGAAGTATCCTTATTAAAAGATTAGATGTAAAATTATAGCATAGCCAAAGTTACCCTCTATTTATATGGGAAAAAGAGACAATATATGAAAAATATTAAAAAATAATATTAAATATTATTATAATATTAATATTATTAATACTAATATTAATATTATTAATTTTTATTATAATAATATTAATATTAAATATTAAAAATAATAAAGACTATTAAATCTTCTTATAAGTCATTCTATTTCTAGGCTAGTTTTGAAGCACCGAAAAAGCTACTGCAGGCAACATTCACA